AGCAGTACCACCAGTCAGTGCTGTCACTCAGTGCCGCTAGTCAGCATCATCCATCAGTGTTGCCCATCATTGCTGCATATCAGTACAGCATCATAAGTACCTACTCATCAATGCTCACCAGTGCTGCCTCATCAGTGCCACCTCATCAGTGCAGCCTATCAGTGCCCATCAGTGCCTCATCAGTGCCACCTCATCAGTGCAGCCTATCAGTGCCCATCAGTGCTGCCTATCTGTGCCACCTCATCAGTGCCCATCAGTGCTGCATATCAGTGCAGCCTCATCAATGCACAACAGTGAAGGAGAAAAACTATCTGTTTGCAAAATTTTAGAGACAAAGAAAAACTTTTTTTTTTTTGCTCTTGTTTTGTTTATAGTGCAAACAATAAAACACCCAGTGGCGATTAAAAACCACCAAAAGAAAACTCTATTTGTGTGAAAAAAATTGTAAAAATTTCATATGGGTACAATGTTGCAATTGTCATTCAAAGTGTGAGAGCGCTGAAAGCTGAAAATTGGCCTGTGCACGAAGGGGGTAAAAGTGCCCGGTAGGCAAGTGTTTAAACAGCATGAGAGTATAAGGTGAAGAGCCGGCAACTCGTTCTCCTGATAAAAGTACTTTATTGATAAAAAGGGTACAATGTGCAAGTTACAGCAGCTTATGCATTTCAGTAAAAAACCTTATCCGTAGACATAAAACAACTCAGAACAAACATGTCTGTTCTGAGTTGTTTTATGACTATGAATAAGGTTTTTAACTGAAACGCATAAGCTGTTGTAACTTGCACATTGTACCCTTTATCAATAAAGTACTTTTATCAGGAGAACGAGTTGCTGGCTCTTCACCTTATACTCTCATTCTTTAAAGTAAGAGCTGTGAAAATGTGGAATAGACTCACTCAAGAACTGGTTCTGCCCAACCTAGTAGATTGTTTTAAAAAAGCCCTGGATTCCTTCCTAGATACACAGAATATAAATGGATATTATTACTTTTAGGTAAAGTTGATCCAAGAATATCCGATTGCCTCTTGGAGGATCAGATTTTTCCCCCACTGGAGCAAATTGGATCACACTTTATTCTTGTTTTGTTTTTTTTGCCTTCTTCTGGAACAACTGTGGCTATAGGATTAACTGTAGTTATAGGATAGTGTATATGGAGGTTTTCTATTTGTGTGTCATGATTAAATACCACCAAATGAAAGCTCAATTTGTGTGAAAAAAATTATATAAAAATTCATTGGGGTATAGTGTTGCATGACAAAGCATTTGCCAATTAAAGTAACACAGTTCTGAACAGCATAAAATGCCCTGGTCATTAAGGGGGTAAAACCTTCCACAGGTAAAGTGGTTAAACTTGGACAAATAGTTTAGGCTTGATTTCTTAGTATGCATACTGTATGTATGTGATAGATTCACTAGTTCATAATTACCCTGTTTAACTCTCTTTTTACATAATTAATTCAGTAACGATATCCCTTTTTTACACCTTATTTTGCTTAAATGCCTATGCGTCCTTGAAGATTGCTGTACAGAGAAAATATTAACCCTGAGACAAATATTAACCCTTTAACGCTGCGCCTCCCAGCGGGGTGGGTTTTTAGATCATGTCATCAAAATTTACCAGCAAGTGCTAACAGAGATCAGGCCTGATTCTGCCAACACTGTGGTTTTGTGTGCAATGTATCAAGTGACAGTGACCTACTGACACAGCACTTGCTGGAGGAGAAAGGGGGGGTAAGTGTAGGGGCTAAACGCAGGTGTTGGCAGGTGTCGGGGCTGATCCCACTAACGCTGCATTTTTGGGGACGCTATACTAATGTGAATGCTGGTATAGTACTGTTCGATCAAAGATATTGATCCGTTCAGACACTATACTAGCAATGGAGGTTTATTGTGTATGAGCGTGTTGCTGGCAAGCAGGGGGTTAAATGTGATTACTGGTGTACTGATGGATAATCTGACGCTATCTGGGAAGAGCGTGAAAACCACGGGAGCGCGAATCACGTTTATATACGTCATTGTGCGCACCCGTGCTGCCCTATAGTAATATTTCTGCTATAGGGCGGTCAGGAAGTAGTCAGGAAGCAGTTTGTGTTACGGCGCTGCATTACTTTATCTGACAATTGCGTGGTCATGCTATAAAACATGTCCAGTAAAAAAATTAAAAAAATCAAATTTCGTCATAAATGTAAGACAAAATGTATTCTGCGACATGTCTTTGCTAAAAAAAAATCCCAATACGTGTAAATTAAATGGTTTATATGAAAGTTATAGTGTTTACAAATGGCGGTATATATACTGGAATTTTTTTATGACACCTTTTGTATGTCTCCCCTGTGGAGATATTGATTTTTAGAGCCCACCCCAGAACCGTGATCCACTGCAGTATCCAGAGGAGGGAGTTCCTGTAACAGATGCTGCTACACTCATCCATCCCTTAAAGGGGACCTCTGGCTGATTGGATCCCCATACTATCCAGAAGTACCTGATGTACCACACACCACCCATAGAGAGGATAATCATTTGCCTGGCCTAATCTGCTTCCTTAAAGGGGACCTCTAAATATTGATTTATATGCGTATTTCCATTACGCATCTGGTGAGTGCGTATTCTTACCACACTTTTCAAGCACAAGCACTGAAGCATCGCCACAATTGACACTTTATGCACAGATTGTAACTTTATGAACTATATATATTTATATATTCATCTGGTCTTTATACGAACATTAGTACCATTAATTTATTAGCACTGCACCCGTGTTTACATCTCCTGTACTATGTCCGCAGTCTCTGGTCATCTCCTGTACTATGTCCGCTGTCTCTGGTCATCTCCTGTACTATGTCCGCTGTCTCTGGTCATCTCCTGTACTGTGTCCACAGTCTCTGGTCATCTCCTGTAGTATGTCTGCAGTCTCTGGTCATCTTCTGTAGTATGTCCGCAGTCTCTGGTCATCTCCTGTAGTATGTTTGCAGTCTCTGGTCATCTCCTGTACTGTGTCCGCAGTCTCTGGTCATCTCCTGTACTGTGTCTGCAGTCTCTGGTCATCTCCTGTACTGTGTCCGCAGTCTCTGGTCATCTCCTGTACTGTGTCCGCAGTCTCTGGTCATCTCCTGTACTATGTCTGCAGTCTCTGGTCATCTCCTGTACTGTGTCCGCAGTCTCTGGTCATCTGCTGTACTACAGGTGAAACTCGAAAAATTTGAATATTGTGCAAAAGTTCATTTATTTCAGTAATGCAACTTAAAAGGTAAAACTAATATATGAGATAGACTCATTACATGCAAAGCAAGATAGTTCAAGCTGTGATTTGTCATAATTGTGATGATTACAGCTTACAGCTCAAAAAAACCCCAAATCCACAATCTCAGAAAATCAGAATATTACATGCAATCAATAAAAAAAAGGATTGTACATAGAACAATATCGGACCTCTGAAAAGTTTAAGCATGCATATGTATTCAGTACTTGGTTTGGGCCCCTTTTGCAGCAATTACTGCCTCAATGCGGCGTGGCATGGAAGCTATCAGCCTGTGGCACTGCTGAGGTATTATGGAAGACCAGGATTCTTCAATAGCGGCCTTCAGCTCTTCTGCATTGTTCGGTCTCATGTCTCTCATCTTTCTCTTGGCAATGCCCCATAGATTCTCTATGGGGTTCAGGTCAGGCGAGTTTGCTGGCCAATCAAGCACAGTAATCCTACGGTCATTGAACCAGGTTTTGGAACTTTTGGCAATGTGGGCAGGTGCCAAGTCCTGCTGGAAAATGAAGTCAGCATCCCCATAAAGCTCGTCTGTGGAAGGAAGCATAAAGTGCTCTAAAATCTCCTAGTAGATGGCTGCGTTGACCCTGGACTTAATGAAGCACAGTTGACCAACATCTGCAGATGACATGGCTCCCCAAATCAACACAGACTGTGGAAACTTCACACTGGACTTCAAGCATCTTGCAGTGTGTGCCTCTCCATTCTTCCTCCATACTCTGGGTCCTTGGTTTCCAACTGAGATGCAAAAGTTGCTCTCATCAGGACTTTGGACCACTGAGCAACAGACCTGGTCTGTTTTTCTTTAGCCCAGGTAAGACGCTTCTGACGTTGTTTGTTGTTCAGGAGCAGCTTTACAAGAGGAATACGACATTTGAAGCCCATGTCCAGGATTCATCTGTGTGTGTTGGCTCTTGATGCACTTACTCCAGCCTCAGTCCACTCCTTGTAAAAGTCCCCAACACTTTTGAATGGCCTTTTCCTGACAATCCTCTCCAGGCTGCGGTCATCCCTGCTGCTTGTGCACCTTTTTCTTCCACACTTTTCCCTTCCACATTGCTTTCTATTAATGTGCTTTGATACAGCACTTTGGGAACATCCAACTTCTTTTGCAATTACCTTTTGAGGCTTTCCCTCCTTATGGAGGGTGTCAATGATTGTTTTCTGCACAGCTGTCAGGTCAGCTGTCTTTCCCATGATTGTGATTCCTACTGAACCAGACTGAGGGACCATTTAAAGGAACCCTTTCCAGATATTATGGCTTAATTAGCTGCTTAGAGTGGGACCCTTTGAGCCGAGAATATTGCACCTTTTCACAATATTCTAATTTTCTGAGATTGTGGATTTGGGGTTTTCATGAGCTGTAAGCCATAATCATCACAATTATGACAAATCACGGCTTGAACTATCTTGCTTTGCTTGTAATGATTCTATCTCGTATGTTAGTTTCACCTTTTAAGTTGCATTACTGAAATAAATGAACTTTTGCACGATATTCTAATTTTTCGAGTTTCATCTGTATGTCCACAGTCTCTAGTCATCCACTGTACTGTGTCTGCAGTCTCTGGTCATCTCCTGTACTGTGTCCGCAGTCTCTGGTCATCCACTGCACTGTGTCCGCAGTCTCTGGTCATCTCCTGTACTGTGTCCGCAGTCTCTGGTCATCTCCTGTACTGTGTCCGCAGTCTCTGGTCATCTCCTGTACTGTGTCTGCAGTCTCTGGTCATCCCCTGTACTGTGTCCGTAGTCTCTGGTCATCCCCTGTACTGTGTCCGCAGTCTCTGGTCATCTCCTGTACTGTGTCCGCAGTCTCTGGTCATCTCCTGTACTGTGTCCGCAGTCTCTGGTCATCTCCTGTACTGTGTCCGCAGTCTCTGGTCATCTCCTGTACTGTGTCCGCAGTCTCTGGTCATTTCCTGTACTAAATCTGCAATCCATTGGTTCAGAATATGTTTTTTCTTGTTTTCCTCCTCTAATACGTAGGTGGTCAGGTGCATCTTATGGAGCGAAAAATACTGTAATTATCCGAAAAGTGTGGCATGCATTTGCATTCAGCCCCTTTTACTCTGATACCCCTAACTAAAATCTAGTGGGACCAACTGCCTTCAGAAGTCACCTAATTTGTAAATAGAGTCCACCTGTGTGTAATTTAATCTCAGTATAAATGAATAAAGGAGTTTAAAGCAGGGTTAGGTTTATAAAAAAATATCACAAGCTATGAACATCTCACGGAGCACTGTACGATCCATCATCCAAAAATGGAAAGAGTACTGCACAAATGCAAAAATACCAAGACATGGCCATCCACTTAAACTGACAGGCCGGGCAAAGAGAGCATTAATGAGAGAAGCAGCCAAGAGGCCCATGGTAACTCTGGAGGAGCTGCAGAGATCTACAGCTCAGGTGGGAGAATCTGTTCACAGGACAACTATTAGTTGTGCCAAATCGGGCCTTTATGGAAGAGTGGCAAGAAGAAAGCCATTGTTGAAAGAAAGCCATAAGAAGCCCCCGTTTGCGAGAAGCCATGTGAGGGACACAACAAACATGTGGAAGAAGGTGCTCTGGTCAGATGAGACCAAAATTGAACTTTTTGGCCTAAAATCAAAACGCTATGTGTGGCAGAAATCATCACCCTGAACACACCATCCTCACTGTGAAAAATGGTGATGGCAGTGTCATGTTGCAGGGATGCTTTTCTTCAGCAGGGACAGGGAAGCTGGTCAGAGTTGATAGGAAGATGGATGGAGCCAAATACAGGGAAATCTTAGAAGAAATCCTGTTAGAGTCTGCAAAAGACTTGAGACTGGGGCGGAGTTTCACCTTCCAGCAGGACAATGACCCTAAACATACAGTCAAAGCTACAATGGAATGGTTTAGCTCAAACCATATTCATGCGTTAGAATGGCCCAGTCAAAGTCCAGACCTAAATCCAATTGAGAATCTGGGGCAAGACTTGAAGATTGCTGTTCACAGATGCTCTCCATCAAATTTGACAGAGCTTGAGCTATTTTGCAAAGAAGAATGGGCAAAAAATGTCACTCTCTAGATGTGCAAAGCTGGTAGAGACATATCCAAAAAGACTTGTAGCTGTAATTGCAGCGAAAGATGGTTTTACAAAGTATTGACTCAGGGGGCTGAATACAAATGCATGCCACACTTTTCTGATATTTATTTTTAAAAAATGTTGAAAACCATTTATCATTTTCCTTCCACTTCACAATTATGTGCTACTTTGTGTTGGTCTATCACATAAAATCCCTAAAAAATACATTTACGTTTTTGGTTGTAACATGACAAAATGTGGAAAATTTCAAGGGGTATTAATACTTTTTCAAGACACTGTACAGCACTTTCACACACACACAGATGCCACTGAATAGCTGGCATACACACATTTTCAAAAAAAATTACCAATTTTGCTCTTATTAGTCACAGATGCCGGTGCTTATATCTTATGTCAAATTGCCACTTCCTGGTGACTTCCCACATTCTCCTCAAAAAAATTCAGGGGCTGAAACACCTTTTTTTTTTTTTTTTTTTTTTTTTTTAGGAAGACACCTCTCTGCCTTGTGTTTCCACATTTAGGCCTGTTTTAGCTTTCGGACCAGTCAGTTTTCATCCACTCCTACCTGAGGGCTGTAACTTTTTATCTTAGGAAGAAGGTTACTATTGCTGTGTGTCTCCATATTTTTGGTCATTTTTACCCAGCTTTGTGTTTTTTTGTTTTTTTTTAAAGGGAAACAGCTGCCTGTGAATTTGTCTCTGCATGTAGTTTTGTTTGCACTGCCTTCAAACTGGTACAGCTTGCGTACTTCTACCTAACCGTACCTGAAGGCTGTAGCTCTTTAGAATAAAATGGGGATAAAGTAATAGGGGTGAAGAAATGGTGTAAAGTGTTTTTTTGTGGTTTTCCACTCTGTATTCAGACCTGTTGGGCTATAATGTCTGCTGCTCAAAGCAAGCCTGGTACTGTTGCACGTGTTGTTACTAAATGTACTTGAAAAAAGCCCTTTTTACCTAAAATTTGTCAACTAATATTATATTTGGGGTGCTACTGCTGTCTGTCAGTAAAGGTAATAGAGGAATAAAATCCACACGTAAATATACACTGTATATGTGATGTCAATTAGGTTGTCCCTAAAAACCATGCTGTACCATAACACCCTGTACAACTTTAAGGCATTCCCCAAAACCTTAAACGTAAAAGCTGTCTATTTTCCATGTTCCCCTGAAAGTCACATACAAAGCCATTTCTCCCAGCTGTATGTTTCTTTTTTGCATTGGCAAAGGTTCCACACATTTGCTTCTGGCAGTCCATACTATCTGGGTGACAATAGCTTGCTTAGCAGCCCTCCAAAGAGTTTCAAATGACCATTAAAATTTGCTCCATATTGATTTCAATGCAGTTGATTTGTACATCACTAATTGCAGGCTATGACTCAAAAGCAGTATAAAGAATTGCTTACATTTTGCAAACTTCTGTCTGCAAGTGGCAAATATTAAACATTCATAAGCTGATTCGGGTTGGTAAACAGTTTAGTGTTGTAGGATAGAGGTTCAGCTTTTTGACTTAAGATTATTTTAGGGACCTTGCACTCCATGAATCACTCTGTTCTGCCACTCTTAGGGTCTATTTATTAGTTGACACACAAGATTCACATGGTTTTTATCTAGGATTCACACATTTACTAATTTGATTGAATTTTGAAAGTTGTGTGAACTCTGAGTAAAGGTTGTTTGAATCTTGTTGTTTGAAAACATAAATAGATACTTTAAATATCTACAAAATGTTGATAGATACAATTTTAGAATATGACTCTTAGCAGAAAATAGTCTGCAGTCCTGGATGAAACTAGATTGTCTGTCAGTCTAATTAGTAAACATACAAGGAAAAGAAAGTTATAACTGATCACCGCAGAGTAAGATAGTATGGGAGGAAAAATATAAGAGATATTAGAAAACCAAAAGTGGCGTTGGATACACTGGATTCAAGGGAAAGTGTTCAAAAACATCTGACCAAACATATCATTAGTGCTGCTAATGTAAGGAAAGAGAAAAAATCTAAACCACCAAGAAAGGGGATAAAGCCTTTTTGCGCATTATACTTATGTTTAGGGAGACCTGACTGTAGCAAATCATTTAAACAATAACTTCTATTCAGTCTTTTTCAGAAGTAGATATTATTAAAGAAACAGGTTTGGGGATCATTGGTTCAGCATTCAGCATTGCAGGTTCAATGAGGCAGAGGTGGCAAATTAACTAGTGTGCTAAAAGCTTAAAGAGACATCGTCACCTTGTCCATGCATAACAATGTGACAGTGTCTCTGGAAAGGCAGTTCCCAATTCCTTAATATTGACCTTACTTTGCAGCTCCTCCTGATTCTACTATACACAACTATAGGTGGATGCCACCTAGATTACAGTTCCTGTTCCAGAGATCTCACTCCCATTTTATTTAATTAATGATCACTTACATACCTGAAAGCAATCATTCAATGACCACTGTAAATGTAGGTTAAAGCAGTATTATAGCCAAAATCAAACATTTATGATATTTGCAGTCTACCATTTCTTAGATTTGATGCCTGTATTAGTTTTCTTTATTAGGTTTTTTTTTGTCTAGTAATGTAGGCCATAGACATGGGGAAAATCGGCCGCTTTTTTCCCAAAAAATCGTAAATCGGTCGTTCAGACGGCCAACGTTGCCACTAATTAAAAAAAAAGTCGGCGGGTTTTAGTCCCGTCTACGGCCGTAATAGCGATGTCTCTGCATAGAGACCCACTATTATACTTGACAGAAGAAATAGATTATGCAGAAGAAGAAAAAGAGAAACAACATTGTATCTATTTGTACTTGAATAGAAACATCTGTATCCGTAATGCATACAAATAGACACAATGTTGCAACTTTTTTTCTTCTCCGTCTTCTTCTGCAAAATCTATTTCATCTTCTCTTTTCTTCTATTCTTCTTGATATTCTATTTCTTCTTCTGCAAAATCTATTTCTTCTATTACTTCTTTTTCTTCATAGTCAACTTTTTGTCAAATCGGCCAGAAGAATGGCCGATTTGACCATAAATTACCGCGAAAATCGGCTGATCTAACAAATCATCCCAGGATTTTCCAGCATGGCTGATTTTCAAAATCTCTTAAAATTAAGAAAAACGGCCTGCATAAGTCTGTTGTTTTTCAACAGAACAAGCTCTCATGCAGATGTCTCAGTTATAGGGATGAGATCCATTTAATACTGGCAAGGATACTTACAATGATCAGCTTTTTTTTTATTTATGTAAACCTTTTATCCTAAAATAATAAAAAAACTGTTTTCTGTAGCTGTCTATAAAAGATTAGCTGGAGTTTGGCTCAGTTTGCCAGTATATTTAAATCTGCTTATACATCTAACATTCCCCCAGACTGACAATGTTGCTGTCAGAATTTACCCTCTGTGCTTTGTCCGGAGTGGAGGCACTCTAATACAGGAGGTGTGTTACTGGAGAGATTATCATGTAAAAAACAGAGGGGAAAAAGCTAATAAAAAGAAAACAAGTGCAGCCATCAGATCTAATGATTAGTAAGCTGCAAAATTTTAAATTTTTTGTTTTGGGTTTAATACTACTTTAAGGTACAGCTCTATGACACGTCAGTTGCATCTTTCAAGATTGCTTCACTGGTAACAGCTGACAGGCAAACAAAGCAAAGTCATATCTCAGGCAGAGGGCTGGGGTAGATGGAAGATGAACAACAGAAACTGGAGAGCTGTTTGGGGTCATAAGCAGAATAACACACAGTAATCAAAGAGATGGATATCAAAGCACTTTAAAAAAATGAAGGCTCTGTTCACATATAGGCATTGTGAATCGCGGGCGGAATCAGAGCGATTCTGCCCGCAATTTCAAAACGTGATGTTAAAATGTCTAATCGCACATCAGTGTGTTCAGGTGCAATTCATTTCAATGGCACCTAAAAATGCGGAGCAATTCTGCTACAATTGTTGTGCAATATATCACGCTGCAATCACGCAAACCAAACCGATTCCGCCTATGATTTAAAACGCCTGTATGTGAACTGAGCCTAAATGTAACCCTTGTGTTCTAATCTACACACCTATCCTTACAGCAATTTCCACTGTTGAGTCAAATTTGAGAAAACCCCACTATATGTTTGGTATGTGTTCCCATTTACACAGCGCACCTATTTTTAAAATATATTTTCTTCCCTTTTAGATACTTCTCAGGACAAGGTGTAATGGTTGACTCTAACCCTTTGTTAGGTCAAACAGTGTTCAAGTCTACTTACAATTGATAATGAAGACCTGCCTGTACCGTACAGACATAGTTAAATTGTCATTAAACCCAGATTACATGCTAACTCACATACTCACAAAGCCACTAAAGCATTTGTTTTGCATAGAATTAAATATATCCGATAGATCCTGATTTCAGCTGTCCTTCCCATCTTCCCTGTGTCCCCATTGTAGGCTGAGATTCTGTAGACCAGCTGGTGAGTCATGCTCAGTTCTAGGCTCTTCATTTTCTCATTTTTCTTATCTGTGCAGCCCATGTGACTATAGAGTCACACAGTAATAATTTACACTCCCTTACCTCCCTCCTCTTTCCATGTTCTCCTATTGATAAACGCTATGGGGGTGGGATATGGTATGCTGATTGAATACATTCACTAAGAAAAAACTCACAAAAAACTGTTTTAATATAAATCAGTATTAAATATATAAAATGTAATTGTTAATACCTGTATAGTTAAAAAAGAGCCTTGGATGCAGATGCATAACATAACAGTGCTGCAGGAAAAAGGTACTTAGAGGAATTTTATAAAAAAAATAAAACAAATAGATAAATAAAATATAGTGGCATTTTATATATTATTTATGTGAATGAATTATGGCATTTCACACTTCTCTGTTTAGTATCACATTAATTATGTCCAGCCACCTCACAAACGAAGAATACTATGTAGCATTTTCCTTGCTTGAGGGTCCACAAGGGAGCTTCTGAAAATTGTAAGCTGCAATTGTTATTTATTTATTTTAAGTTATGCTGTGTGAATGGAGACATGTGATACGTATAAAATAGGTATCCCAGTTTGGCTTCAAAAGTGGAAACATCACAGGCAAACATGGCCTGTCTATGCTGCAGTTAGTAATGTAACCAGTAAATGCCAATCGTGCTCACTTTTGAACAGTGCACGCAGCCATGTGCAACGGATGCTGTCATTTGATCCTAGTCACAAGAAAATGGTTACTTCCAGAAAGGTAAACAGCAACTACTGATTACTCGGACATGCCCTAATATTAGTGTTTTTCAGCACCGATTCTCCCAACTGTCTTGATATAACCATATTTATCAAATTTTTCTACAAAGTAAAGACACCTGTGTGATTCTCCCAATTGTTTTGATCTAATCGCTTTTAGGCTCCATGCACATTGGGTGTAAAAAAAAAAATGTCCAAAAATGCTGGTTTGCCGTGATTTACCGCAGTTTACAGCGTTTTGCCACATTTTTTATTGTTTTTACAGCAAAAAAAACTCCTCTAGAAACCCACTATTCCTGTTTTTTTTTCAACCAAAAAACGTTGATTACATTCTATGTGTGCATGAACACATAGGATAACATGCTGGTGAGTTTACTGGCTGTAGAAAAAAAAATGTCAAAAGCCAAAAAAACAGCCGCTGTAAAAATGTCCAGTGTGCAATGATGTTTCTATAGTGTAAAGACACCTGTGTGCACATGCTTTCAGGGCATGATTTCCTGTAAAAAAATATAACAGGGAACAAAAGCTATATTTTGTTCTATAGTAAAATATATCTCCAGCTGCCCACAATGTACATTTTCAGAGAACAACATATTTTCATATATTAAAAGACAAAAGAAGCCATCTTTTCATACAAAAAAACTTTCCACCATTGTAAAACATGTATATATACAGTATGTATGTTCGTGTGTTCATGTAATGATGTGTTGCAAATATAATACATGTATAACATACCTTTTTGTAGAGATTTCTGAGGTCTCTGTACTGCCACATGCTGTTAAGAACCTGAGATGCTGCCTTCACAACTTTCGGCGAATGCCTGTTTTTGGAAGGAAAGCAATACGTAAAAATACATTTTCACATTTTATTAATTGCATACAGTGGACTAATTGTGGTAGTTTTGTACATATTTATATCTTTTGTTTTATAATTGAAGGCTTATGTACAACTAAAAAAAATAACCTTCAATTATTCTTTCTGATTTGATCTGATCTAATCTAATCTTACCCCTATTTATAGTTTAGAGACAGTGCTGCTCAACAACTGAAAGACAACTGCACTAATGAAATATTTAGGCTACCAATGCTAACCTCTTTTTTTAAAGATGCTAGCTGCTTGGCTGTCCTGCTGATCAATCAATCAATAAACTCCTTCCCTTCCACTCCCACCAAAAAGTCACACTTTCTCCCTAGAAAGTATACAATCCAACAAATCCTTTTCGTGATAAAACATATAAATCCCCCATAAAATCCCAAAATAAAATCTACAAATAAAATCTACAAATATAATCAATTTATACAATCAAAATAAATGTTAATCACTTAAACTTAAAATTGTGTTCAATTAAATTCACTCCCAATTATGTCTCAAAATCACAAAATAAAATTCCATAAAATAAAATAAAATCCCAATGTGTCCAAAATCCAATTTCCAAATTTTTTCACTTCAATCCAGTTAAAAGGAAATTGATCCTAAATATTCCATGAAAACCTCAAAAAAAAAAGGAAAAAAGAAAATTCATAGTGTATTATCTTTTTTAAATATATGTACTTCACTCTGTGCAAAACACAAAATCAAAAAAAAAAAAAAAAAAAAACTTGTGCAAGTAATATATAAATGTTTACTTATTTTCCCACTTCATAAATCAATAAATAAATAAAACCCAAAACGTGAAAAACTCGTGATCACTCCAACCACTTGTGTATAGTGATACTAGGTACTAGTACCCTCTATAATCCAGCCAAAAGTGATACCAGGTACTATTACCCTCAAGCATGGGCTAACATAGGGAATCCATATCTTTCAATCCTTCATTTCAGGGGTATTCCTCCAAACTCCTCATAAAGAAACAAAGACTCTTAGGCAGAATTCACATTATAGAAACAAATTTAATCGTAACTTACATTAAAAACAGGAAAATCCAGCTTCCAACATTGCTCTCTCAATGGCTCTGTACTGACTGAACAAACTTTTGGTTGAAACCACATGTATACAACCAACAAAATGGCTGCGGTGACACTTCCGGTTGGCGTGCGTGCGTCTTGACGTCACTCCCCTAACGCGTTTCGATCCTTTCAGACGAAGTCCGGAAGTGACTAAACGCGTTAGAGAAGTGACGTCAAGACGCACGCACGCCAACCGGAAAAAAGATTTCAGAGAAAGTATCACAGCAAAGAAAGTATGTGTTTGTTCTCTTCGTTTTAGGCTTGGGACTTTTAACAGAACCCATATGGCCGATGCAGGTGGCTCCAGATCAAAGCATGTGCGCACTGCATTAATAGGGACTGCAATGGTATCTCCTTGGAGGAGAAGGCATGGATGCATGCTTTTGGCCCCTGCATTCTGAGTTGGCAAACATGGATAACATTTTCTTCAAGAACTCAGATATAGGGGTTGTTGTACTAAAAGCAAATTAGTTGTTTGCTTTGCAAAGGAATTTGGGGGGAAAAAATAATTTGCTTTCTAAAAAGAGCATTACAGCAAAATTATAATTTTCCAGTGAACATATAGGCAAAGACAAGGCCTTCTGGAATGTGTTGTAGACTAATCAATCAAGGAGTTACTTGGTGACAGTAGCATTAAACATGTTTGCTGCAAACCAAAGACAGCATTTCAAGAGAAGAACCTCAAAAGAACTGTAAAGTATAGAGGTGAAAATGTGATGTTTGGGGGTGCATGGCTTCTTTGGTGCCTGGGCTGCTGGCAGTCAGCAAGTCGACTAAAATGAAAATCTGTGAAGCAGCACATACATACAGCTTTACAGGGAGTATTTGCCTGCTTTAGTCATAAGTATTACAACCCAGTGACTTTATGTGCTGTGACAAACAGCCTTTGATGGCAAGCAGTGGTCATGGATGAGGTTTATGTATCAACCCAGGTTGTGGAGTTATAAGGCTCTAAATTCAGACATTTGATTGGACAGGCAAGTAGAACTTGACATTTAGGGGAGAGGAGGTAATGGAACCTAATGTAATAGGAGGGGACAGTCCAGAATAATGTCCAAACTTGGGAATTATATCCGGTATTGCACGTAGGGGTTGTCCTGTGCCTTCCAAAAACAGGAGCATGTACTCAGCATACAGCATAATTTCTTTCTAAATATCATTAATAATCAAAGCTAAAAATGAAGGGATCTCCTAATAATAGCGGTAACGGACTAATATTTAAATGCATGGGGGGGGGGGATTTACCAAAATTGGAGAATGCAAAATCTGGTGCAGCTCTGCTTTGAAACCAATAATTTTCCAGATTTTTTGTCAAACCTTAATTGAACAAGCTGAAGTTGGGAACTGACTGGCTACCATCCACAGCTGCACCAGATTTTGCACTCTCCAGTTTTAGTAAATAAACCCCATAGTCTCCATTAACTGACTGTTGTGGATTTTTGAGCATTTCTATAATGTATAGTGGAAAATTACTAAAAATATAAAATAAAGAGCAATATTCCACCACTACCTCTCCCATTGCATAAACAGCCATTAGAGCCAGCCAACACTCACACACCAAATTATCAATAAAGCACAAGTGGGATTTTGAAAAGTACACACAGAAGAAGTATGGCTGTGACAGATGCAAAGGAAGGATTTGCACACTGCACAGTGTGGGACTGCACAGATTAGGGATACTGGGATGACACCAGATTGATGGATTTGTACAAGTTTTAAACAATAGACCGTCTCCTTTGTTGACACTCTATATTTGATTTTGGTTTATTTTATATTTTTGTGCATTCGTATTTTGCATATATATACAATATAATGCCAAACGTATTGGGCCAGCCCTCCAAATAATTGGATTCAGGCGTTCCAATCACCTCCATGGCCACAGATGTAGAAAATCAAGCACCTAGGCTTGCAGACTGCTTCTACAAACATTTGTGAAGAAATGGGTCACTCTCAGGAGCTCAGTGAATTCAAGAGTGGTAACGTGATAGGTTGCCACCTGAGCAATAAGTCCATCCATGAAATTTATTTGCTACTAAATATTCCACGTTCAACTGTTAGTGGTATTATAACAAAGTCGAAGCAACTGGGAACAACAGCAACTCAGCCACGAAGTGGTAGGCCACGTAAAATGACAGAGTGGGGGTCAGCGCATGCTGAAGCACACAGTGCAAAGAAATCGCCAATGATCTGCAAAGTCAATAGTTAAATACCTCAAAACGTCATGTGGCCTTCAGATTAGCACAACAGTGCATGGAGAGCTTCATGGAATGGGTTTCCATGGCTGAGCAACTGCATCCAAGCCTTACATTACCAAGTGCAATACGTTGGATGCAGTGGTGTAAAGCACGCCACCACTGGACTCTAGAGCAGTGGAGATGTGTTCTTTGGACTGGCAATCTGATGGACGTGTCTGGGTTTGGCAGTTGCCAGAAGAATGATCCTTGCCTGACTGCATTGTGCCAAGTGTAAAGTTTGGTGGAGGGGGGGATTATGGTGTGGGGTTATTTTTCAGGGATTGGGCTTGAACCCTAAGTTCCAGTGAAGGGAACTCTTAAGGCTTCAGCATACCATGACATTTTGGACAATTTCATGTTCTAAACTTTGTGGGAATAGTTTGGGGATGGCCCCTTCCTGTTCCAACATCACTGCGCACCAGTGCACAAAGCAAGGTCCAAAAAGACATGAATGAGCAAGTTTGGGGTGGAGGAACTTGACTGGCCTGGACAGAGTCCTGACCTCAACCTGATAGAACACCTTTAAGATGAATTAGAGTGGAGACTGTGAGCCAGGCCTTCTCGTCTGACATCACAAATGCTTTTATGGAAGAATGGTCAAACATTCCATAGACGCACTCCTAAACCTTGTGGACAGCTTTCCCAGAAGAGTTGAAGCTGTTATAGCTGCAAAAGGCGGGGCCAACTCAATATTGAACCCTACGGACTAAGACTAGGATGCCATTAAAGTTTATGTGCGTATAAAGGCAGGCATCCCAATACTTTTGGCAATATAGTGTATGTTTGGAGAAATAATACCTGCATTGTATTATTACTGGTGTTCACATACTTTGATATTTCTATATAGACTCATGCATTGGAAGACATATATATTTATACAGGTGAAACTCGAAAAATTAGAATACCGTGCAAAAGTTCATTTATTTCAGCAATGCAACATAAAAGGTGAAACTAATATATGACAGACTCATTACATGCAAAGCAAGATAGTTCAAGCCGTGATTTGTCATAATTGTGATGATTATGGCTTACAGCTCAAGAAAACCCCAAATCCACAATCTCAGAAAATGAGAATATTGTGAAAAGGTGCAATATTCTCGGCTCAAAGTGTCCCACTCTAATCAGCTAATTAAGCCATAACACCTGCAAAGGGTTCCTGAGCCTTTAAATGGTCTCTCAGTCTGGTTCAGTAGGAATCACAATCATGGGAAAGACTGCTGACCTGACAGTTGTGCAGAAAACCAACACTGATTCTCCCTCCATAAGGAGGGAAAGCCTCAAAAGGTAATTGCAAAAGAAGTTGGATGTTCCCAAAGTGCTGTATCAAAGCACATTAATAGAAAGTTATGTGGAAGGGAAAAACGTGGAAGAAAAAGGTGCACAAGCAGCAGGGATGACCACAGCCTGGAGAGGATTGTCAGGAAAAGCCCATTCAAAAGTGTTGGGGACTTTCACAAGGAGTGGACTGAGGCTGGAGTCAGTGCATCAAGAGCCACCACACACAGACGGATCCTGGACATGAGCTTCAAATGTCGTATTCCTCTTTTCAAGCCACTCCTGAACAACAAACTTCAGAAGCGTCTTACCTGGGCTAAAGAAAAACAGACCTGGTCTGCTGCTCAGTGGTCCAAAGTCCTCCC